AAGTCCAGGTATTAAAGCAATCATTAAACCGAAAGAAAAAGCATGAATAATAAAGAGCAATTACAAAAAGAATTAAAGCAAAAAATCAAACCAGGTATTAAGCCTTCGGACTTAAAAAAAAGTCGGGGCACTATTCCTACTCCTCCCCCTCCACTTTCTAGCCCAAAAGACAAACCCAGTCCCAAAAATCCAGTCCCCGAAAAGCCCAAGCCAAATCTGGTCGAAGTTAAAGTCACCAGGGAAATTTCCCCAATTACGGAACCAACTCCCCAACATTATCTTTTCACTTGTGATATTTGTGAAACTCACCAAAAAAGCCACCTCCACCGAGGCCGAGTCAACGGACTGGGCCTGGACCCTAATAAAGTGCTGAAAATCTGTGCTAACTGTATAAGCAAAGTTGATTTAATAACCGAAACCAAACCGAAATATATTTGAGAATAGCCATGACCACCATCCGAGAAAAATACCCTAATTTTACTAATTTTTGGGATAACTACCGAGCAGGATTTTTTAACCAGCATAAGGAGTTAGTTATTCAATCCATAGCCCTGTCCCATTCCCATTCTCTTTACGAATATTGAAAAGACAGCCATTACGAACCCGAGGAAGGAATTTTTTACGGCAAATTATTCGGCAAGTTAACCCAAGACATTATCCGAGACAGCCGAAATCGGGAAATTTATGACAATGTTTTTAAAGTCATTAAGTTAAAGGACAAAGAATTATTTAAGTCAGGCAGCAAAGTCGAGCATAGCAAAACCGACGAGAAAATTAAGGCTACTCCCCAAGCTACCCGAATAAAAAATATTCCTACGACCCCAGGAGGAGATTTAACCAGCAGCACTTACGGCCGAGCCGAAATATTAGAACAAGAAAAACGAGACCTTAAACCCTACGAAAAAGAAATTACGAGAGGCCGAAGAGCCACTAATAAAGAAGGTAAGTCGTTTTATGGTGATACTTACGACAAAACGGAAAATTGAGGAGATAAAAGTTGGTTAGGTAAGTTATTAGGAGCTTTACAATATATCCCGTTTAACTTTAATCCCCAAAGTTATCAGTTCCTTTTTTTACAAATATTCGGAGCCGAAGGCCAATTAATAACTTTACCCAGTGGCAAGAAAAAATGAATTAGCACTCCGTGAGAGGAAGACGAGGAAGAAGAAGCCGTAATTACTCCTAAAAAGAAAAAAATTCGAGTGGATGACAGCAGTGAAATCACTTGGGAGGAATGACAAGGAATTTGTGCCAAAAGGAAAATCATCCCGACCCAACAAAACTTTTACCTGGAACAAATAACCCGATATTTAAAACGGAAGGAAAAAGAACATGCCCCACCTACTTCTTTAACGGGTTTGGGTATTCAAAAGCAGAAGGAATTAGCCGAAGGACTAATTAAAGCCTGGGAAAAAGATTTGAATGTTCCCCAGTTAGCCAAGTTTAACGAAATAATGGACGAGGTGGTCGGATATGCCGAGTTCAAAACCAAAATGAAAATGTATCTAGTGAACCTAGCCAAAGACATTAAGCAAGGCAAAAAAACCGAACAAA